CTAACAGATATTATCTTTATCTTGCGTAGCAATACACCCCGTCGACAGCAATGGACAGATTTCAAGCACAAACCCGCGCGAGCCTCCAGCAGATTTGTCAGAATTACCGACCAACTCGTGTTCTGCAGATGATTGTTTTAATTCTTACAAGTTAAGCAAGTGTGCCCGCTGCAAGTGAGTGGACAGTACCACCCAAGAAAAGTCGTGCAAAGGGCTGTCTGCTAACGTCTGTCGTCCCTAACAACTCAAAGGAGTGCTTATTACTGCGTAAGCCCGTGTTTTTTTCAAGTCGAAATATTTAATCCTGAAAATTATTGGAATGAAGAGCAAAGAATGCCAAAGTAAGTCTGCTGTAATACATAACAAATGCGGAGGGCTGATATCCTTCTCAAGCAAACCATTGGAAGCGGCACAAAGCAGCATGTGAGATGTACCTCACTTTGGTGAAAGGCGACAACTCTATCGAACCTCCTTTGCGGCGTCATATTCGCCATTGGACCGCTCGCTTCGAGAACTCGTTAATCTGTGCGGCTATCGTCGGCATGAATATCCACCGCTCCTTCTCGAACGTGGACAAGTATGGGATGCTCATCACCCTCGAACCACGTCCCCACGAGATCGTCGGGGCTCGATACAATATGGAGTCTTGTGAAATTCTCAGCATGGCGGAGTTCCGAGCCTTTTTGACGAATCTAGGGATGGATGCGGTATTCGCCCAGCATGAAAGAGAGAGGGAATATACGAAGAAGAAAACAGGAGGAGATACGGATTTCGCTGCATGCGTTGTGATCGCGATGAACAAAGGACAATGGAAGCTAGATGGAAAGCATAACGTCGAAGCCAGATTCAAGCCTTTGTGTATTCAAAGAGACATGGCAAGATCGCCGCAGCTCAATGACCCTGGCCTTGCTTGGCGAGAGTCACTCGAGTTCCAGGTTCAGCAGGATATCCCAAATAGACATAGCTAGGCCTCGGTGCCGGCTTCTTTCCTCTCAGCAGAATGTCCCAGATATCGACTCGCCTGAGCATGAATTTAAACTAATACAGCCATCATAACATACCTATTCTTGTATGCAGTGTACTATTTGGGGGGTAAATATACGGTAATAAATGTAGGAAAATATCGATAAAGCTATTAAGCCTCGATGCTGGATTCATCCCTCTCCTTCAGCAGCTCGATCCACGACGGGAGCTTGAATAATTCGGGAAGCACGTCCCAGAAGTCGATTCGCCCGTCACTATGTATGTCTTGTGCAGCGTATTTGCACTCTGGGCAAAGTCCTTCGTAAGACCATCCTATGTGCCACGCATCTAATCCCATGAGAGCCCGTTGGGGAGAGACCGTTTGGCCTATAATGGTTTGTCGAGCTTTGAGACAACGTTCACGGTTTTCGCATTCGTATCCAACGGAATCGAGCTCGTATAACCAAGATAGAGTCGTGGATAGTTGCGAGCTAAGCATGCCGCAGAAACCTGCGAGGCAGACGATCTGGTCTTGCGGAGAGAGAAAAACCATTGATCCATCCGGCTTCTGTATGCCTTCAGTGATTTGTTGTGTTGAATAAGCTTTGCAGCATGAAAAATAGGCGTAAGGGAGGATAGAAAGGAGTCCGGTCCTGTGGGCGAGTTGCACTAGTTCCATGTGCTCGTATTTGGTTGGCCCGACGGGCATTACATCATATGCATCCAGTGTAGCGGGGATATCTTGAAAAATCCTCTTCTTTGATTCATGATACAACTCATGGATGTCATACTTCTGCCCTAGGCAGAGATAGGCGGATAACACAGCAAAGGGCAACTCTGTTGTACCGCTCAGCATATGTCTGACGACATATAGAAGATAAGTTATGACAGGGTAAGAGCACAATGAGATGGCGACTCACCGCTCTGGACACAGCGCCCGCAAAATGTACTTCACATCTTCGGCCAAGTCAAAAAGGTGAACCACCGGGCATCCGTCCACCAGCTGTGTGTCCACTGATGCAGGTTGCGGAATCGTAAACATGTCTTTGAATACGGGCGAGCTGTGGGCGAGGATGCCTCGATAAAACTTGAATTGGGTGCCCTGGGCTTGCAAGACAACGTTGCCATCGTCGTACCAGACGTCCGATCGAATTATCTGCATTGGTTCAATTGCTTCTGGGGCAGCTTCAACGCGCTGACGTTTTGAAGGTGGCTGTTCCTCTGTTGACATCGAAGTGGATACAGCAGGTACAAAAGGGGGTGGTGTGGTGGAAACGAGAGAAGAGAAGTTATTTAGGGCCGGTTTGTACGCGCAACGGGTAAAATATGTACTTCATAGTAAAGTGCCCCAAAAGTACCCTCTTTCAACCGCAATTTGAACAAGAGAACAGTGAATCTTAGGCTATTTAATACAGTTTCCCAAGGATTTTACCGATGGTTATATTTTAGACATCTCCCCTCAGAACTACTCCAAACGTCGCTGACTTTTCGGCACAACCGCCCACAACACTAGTAGCACAGCCATCATCGTCACCAACCTGCCCACTCGAGCGTCAGCCATGATATAATGGGAACCAAATGGTCGGGGTGCTTACAGAGGCTGAAGAGCATTAATCGAGTACTTGGACGCCAACACTCCCGTAATGAACGGCAGGATCGCCGAGCCTGCCTGTTATACGCGCAAAGTCAGCGCCACCGCGAGATTTGTTGAATGGGGAGAGGCGCACCTGGCCGAACCCCGCGATCCAGCCTATGGCGCCTGTGACCAGCCATTTTGGGAGCACCTTGCTCGTGTGCGTCATGACTAGCGGGTACATTGGGCCTAGGAAGAGCCCGATGACTGCTACTGCGACGGCGTTCTCGATCATGGAGGGGACGAGCCACACTGTCAGCTCTAACCTGCATATAGAATTTGATTTTGAGAGGGAAGAAGTGAAGATGGAAGTGAAGAAGCGACGGACCCGATGACGAGGAATAGATAGATGAATATAACCTTCTGCGGGCCAACCTGGGTGTGGAAATGGTGGATAAATAGTTTGGTCGCAAGAGGCAAAAGAAGTTTGGAAAGAAGATACTGACCATGCGGTTGAACCACATCAACACAATGCGCCCAAGTGTGAGCCCGCCGAAGAAACCTGCCGATATATATCCCGCACTGCGCCCACCATCGCGCTCGCGGATTATGAACGTGACGATCCAACCTTCATCTTCTATCAGCTATGTATGCCCCCCACTTAGTTTTACTCACCTCCCAGGGTAACCTGACATTCCGTGAGCTTCACTATATTATATTAAAAGCAAAAAGGGGGAATAGCGCACCTCTGTCCCGACGTAAACAAGAATGAAAAACGCGAGAGTGTGCACAGTCTTGAGCCCCAATATCTGACTGAACTTGTTGCCACGATCCGCTTGGCCCTGCCCCTGCGCTTCTGCAGAATCCTGCCCTGCCTCCGCGTACACCTCTGTGTCAAAACGCAATATTAGACCATCTCATAGAAGGGAAAGGGACAAAAGAGAGCGAAGCACCATCCTGCGTACGGAACTTGAATACGGCGAGCAGCACGCAGAAGCTGGATATTGCGATAACGAGGGATATGAGGTAATGGTAGTGCCAGTGGGGCGAAAATGCGAACTGCGTGGCGACGAGTGGCGCAGTGAAAGCGCCGAGACCTGTATGCAGGTCGCAAGATAGCCAATAAGCCAAGCACACGATCAGAATGAACTGATGTCGACAAACCGTAGGCTGCGTGTAAAAACCCAAGTTTGGTGGAGGCATGCGCTTTGAGACCCCCGACGAATCCATTTGCCTGTGCGTTCTTCCAAGAATTGAGTACTTTTGAACTTGAAGCGTCAATTCATGATGATGGTACACATACCTGCAGAGCGATGCCGAATCCTCCGATGGCGTTGGCGAGGACCATGACCGGAAAGGGCGGGGCGGGGCTCTGGATGGCATAGGTGATCACTTGACATGCCGCACCTAGCACCAGCACCTGCGATTTTGGAGAATCAGGTCGATTGTTTTAAGCTAAAAGCAATGCTGGGGAACTGACCTTGCCGAACCCTAGTTTATCGTTCAGCCAGATGTTCGCAAACGCACCGCTGATGAAGCCCTGGTCAAGCCGGCTGGATGATCAGCGAAGGTTGTAGAATCGACAGTCTAGAAAACGCACCACACAACTGAGCACGAACATAAGCGAGACAACAGCGAAGCCGACCTAAATGCTTCGTTAAATCTTAGAATAAGAGGACAGCAAGAGATTTCATTACGTGGTAGACCTCTTGAATGGTGGGCAGCAGCGGTCCTGGAGTGCCGTCGTTCCACCCCTCGAGGAACATGAACCAGCACAGTGCAGCGAAGTGGATGTGGCTCCTGCGCCTGAACAGCTTAGCCTGGTGATCAGTCACCGGATAGTCATGACCGAGGCGTTGCGGCGGATATGTGACATCCTCAGATGCGCCCGGAGCAGGCGCGGCTACCGTCAACGCTGTAACAGGCTTTTGGATCGCAGACGTATACGAGAGTACAGGTAAGTCGAGCTGATCGTCATTTGCGAACAGCGTGGGTGAATCAGAGCCCTTTTGTATCCCACTTGAAGCCATTTCAGAAAACAGCATGTGGTTTATCGCTGCCATATAGAATCAAATCAACAAGCTCAGCGACGAGGTAGTCTCAATGCTGGTTGGGTGGGAGATAACTCGGTGAAGCCAGCCCCCCAGAAGTCTTCTTTTATACCTAAAGATAACAGACCCTGCTCTGCTGACTTGTTAGTCATACGTTTACGCCCTCACCTTGACGGAGAAAGGGTAAGGGCCGTTAGCGAGGGATGCAGATTCGCCGAGATGGTTCCGACGTTATTTGGGTCAAGTCGATGCTCTTTTCAGTTGGTCGCGTGCGGATAAACTTGCATGGGCAGTGGTATATACGTCCAGCATTTATACACAGCTGGGAACTCTGCGGCGCTGAGAGGGCAAGAAAAAGAAGAGAAAGTGAGAGAAAGCAAAGATGATTGAGAAGTGCAAAAAGACATATCATCTGTCGCATGCAGGATTCGAGCCTGCGTTACCACGGAGCTTGATTCGCTTGCGCGGATCGGACCACAACGTGGAGTACTAACCACTATACTAATGCGACGATGCAAATGTTGCTCTCGAGACGACTAACACCCGTGGTCTCTGCTACCACCCGCACGATATGTGACCCGAACGACGATGGTGATCATCTGTGCCAGCTTCTGCTCCAATATCCCTAGACCGATCTCCAAGCTTTCAAAATGTCCGCAACGAAGCCGAAAGCCATAATATTCGACCTCCTCACCGCTGTCCTCGACTCCTGGACCCTCTGGGACACATCTGCTGGCTCACCTACCCTCGGCCGCACCTGGCGGATGCGCTACCTCGAGCTAACCTACGGCTGCGGCTCATACCGCCCTTACGAAGATCTCGTGCTCCAGGCCGCTCGCGACACCAATATCCCAGACTCTGCGCCTGCCGCGTTGCTAGAAAACTGGGACAAGCTCGAGCCTTGGCCGGAAGCGCCGGGTGTGCTGAGAGCGTTGAAAGAGAAAGGGTATATGTTGGGCGTCATCACAAACTGCAGCGTGGAACTCGGCAAGACAGCATCGAGGAGGTGTGGGATCGTGTGGGATTGTGTGTTGACTGCTGAGGAGGTAGGGGTTTATAAACCGAGGAAAGAGGCGTATGAGGCAATTATGAAGGAGTTGGGTGTCAAGGCTGAGGAAGCGATATTCGTTGCTGGAAGTGCGAGTGATGTGCCCGGTGCGGCTGGTGTGGGTATGATGGTTGTGTGGCACAATAGGGTGAGGCTAGAAAGCAAAAGTCATGTTCAGGCGGAGAGGGAGGGCAGGAGATTAGATGAAGTTTTGAATGGATTGGTTTAAAGGGCTAGAGAAATGCTTCTGCTTGTAAGTTTTTATTCAATACCACTCCTCGCCGCTAGTGCTTCTCCTTCCTTTGCTGTGTTCCCGCCGAAATCTTCTCAAAACTACTTGGTACTTATACGCTCTTGGTTGTGCGTGGAAATTTGCAACACCACAAGTTAATCGCGCATGAATATCTACTGAATTCGTTACAGCATCCATGCGTGTGCGTTTTTGATCCTCAATATGATTCAGACTGTATCAACTCCAAATTTTGACCTGTTCAACGTACAGAGAATCTAGAGTATCATCCTCAACGTTAATCATTCAAAAGGTACTTGCGTCTTGTTATTGTGCGCTAACTAATATTGGCCTGCGTATAGATGCAACGTTTATCATTATGATATTCCAGGACAGATTTATTTCTTCGAAACCCGATACTAGCTCAGGCCCCCTGTTGAAGTCTACCATTTCCAGGCTTTACCCTCATAGCTGGCAAATGTGCCAGAGGTCTCCGCCCTGTTTGCTGTATCGATCTGTTGGCTATCGGTGAGCAGCCAGCTACACAGTTATCTTGTAGCACAAGTTGCACTCACGATGCGCACGAGCCCAGTGATGCTCTCGTTCAGAGTCAAAGTCGGCCTGGGAACCCCAAGGATATCCGCAGCGCCGTTGCCCATGTCGGTCTGCACCCATCTACGATCGGAGTAAAGTAAGCAAGCTGACTGGGAGAATAAGCGCGACGACATACCCTGGAGTCAAAGCCACTGCGGTGATCTTCGGGTGCTCGAAGTGGATCTTCCTTGTGATGAAATTGACGGCGGCCTTGGACGAGCCATACGCCGTGTTGGGTGCCGGCATCAGGTCCATGTCCCCGATGCTGCCCATCGCGGACGACATGACGAAGAATTTGCCCTGTGCGGCTTCGAGGAGCGCGGCCGTGGCCTGGAAGAGCACGAGGGGCCCGACGGCGTTCACCTCGAAGTGGGCGCGCACTTCGTCTATTGGCGTCGCGATAGCGGGTCCCATGTATTTAGCGATGCCCGAGTTGGCGACGACCACGTCGAGAGCGGAGATCCCATGCTCCGTCTGCAGCTGCTTCACTGTGGCGGCAGCGTCTGTCTCCGACAGGCTGTCGATTTTGACGAAGATGAGCTTGCTCCCAGCGCCGACACGTAGAGCTTTGAGGCTCGCCACAGATTCGGAGCTGGATGGATTTCTGACGGCTGCGATGACGGTGACGTTGGGACGCGCAAGGAAAGCTTCAGCTAGTCCTAGACCGAGACCTGCATATCCGTTCGAGATCAGTCTTGAGATTCAGTGCACAATGCCAGGCAGCTCTTACCTCGGTTGGCGCCGGTGATAAGATAAGTGGTAGTCGACGACATTTTGAATATAGAAGTTGTTAGGTGTTAATGCTTGGATTTTAAGTGAAAGACACAAGAAAGGATGAGGGGATTGGGGGATGATTTCCCTGCCTTATCTTCCTCGTATTTAAATTAGTGTTGGAAGTATTTCGGGCTTGCTGATGAATCGCATCGGTCGTCAACCTACGCTGCTTGGTAATGCTCCCCAGAAGTTACAGTCATTAATAACGATTCTTAAGCTTTGTCACTGGTGTAAACTGATTTCAAAGAACTATAGCAAAGATCAGTGCCGTCTGGAATAGCTTTTTCCCTGAGCAACCTATTATTGAGTTCTTACAGTAGAAGTCGGGGATCCAGATCCAGTCCGAGGTGCAGTATTTATCACAAAGTTAAATGGATTGTAATATACAGCACAATGGAGTGGTTATATGTTTATCGTTGTTGATGGCAATGTACTTGGCCAATGCTGAGATAAAGGTGTGTTCAGGTGCAAGGGTGACGGTGTCGAAAGACGCGTGGTAGCAGGGCATCCAGCCGACAGGGAAGGGTTTAGTAGGGTTAAGGGGTGCACGAGACGGATGGTCAGTGTTCGGGAAGACCGGTGTACACATATCTTCCTCGATGAAGTCTTCCGGCGAGGAGTTAGGGAGACCAGATCGTAGTAGATTAATTCGGTAGCGAGCGTGTTCATCATCCTCGTCATCAAGCCAGATTTTGTGCTAGAGGTGGGTAAGCTGTTCTTTTCTGCTAAATGCACACTTCTATACACGTACCTCGGCAATATAGCCTACATAGACTTTGTTAACAGCATTTTGAGCTACCGTGGTGGCTTCATCATCCTCCAAGATCTCCAGACTCTTGACTGGATCGAGTTTGATAGATACGTAGGCAGTGAGTTCCGGGAAAAGTGATGTGCCCTGTTCACGAATTCTGCTCTGTGTAAAAGACATCAACTCTGAAGACGTATACAGGGGCGCGGGATGAGATCGAGCGACGGGCGCCTCCTTGGGGACGACAGACGGAGTTTTTCCTGACGCGACTGCTGTCACGTCAACGGGCCAGGTAAATGAAAGAAGCGGGTCAAGTCCTGTCAAGTCGCCCCGAGTTCGCGCGTGCATATCAAGCGAGGTATCAATGAATGGGGGCTTAACAGTGCCACTATTAGATGAGGGAAGGTCACAAAAAGGCACAAGAGCACACATGAATGCATGAACGACGAAACCTTAATTTCAAATCTCATCAAGCCGGTGTAGGATTAATGAAGAGAAGCATGAAGAGAAGCCCAGCATACGGCGGGCAGTCGGAGAACCTTTCGAACTTTGCAGGATTCGAAGTTCGAACACGTTGATCAAATATATATAGACCGTACACGGAATATGGAGCCGAGTACCCGAATTGACAACTGAGGCCAGGGAACCGTCGAGAACCCAGAATCCATACACAGCATCGATGTTCCAAAATCGCAGCGAATTCAGGTCTAGGCTTCCAGGGCTCGAGGATATAAGAAGATGAACAAGCACTTTTTCGGTGCAGTGCGGGTCACGCGGGCCGGAGGGACTGATGGTCATTTGGTCTACGTCTTCACTTGCATACGCGAGGACATGCTTGGAATAGTTGGCTGTTCTCGATGGGCTGGTGCCCCCCTGAGGGTATTCCGGTAGAGTCAAGTCTGTTCCTGGCAAAGAATTAATATATCAAGCATGTTCTCTAATTAGACGGGCACTCAAAATTAGCGGTATGGCCGTTGTTGGTAAGGAGCTCGGGGAAAACAACGCAAGTATTCTCGTAGACGATCTTCGCCGGCCCTTGATGTATATGCAGACCGCGAAATCGGCCGCGCGGGCCTCCAGGAAGGGAGCCGAACACGGGATTGATAGAGATAGGTGAGGCCGGGTTGGAAGCTCAGGACACTTGGTTTAGAGCGTATGCAAAATAATCACCCATGACACCACGTACTCCTTCGCTACAGGGCTACGAGGTCGTGTTCCAATTGAGTATCTTGGACTGTCTTCATCGCTGCGTAAGCCGTCTTGACCATGAAATCATCCAGTGTGAGAGTAGCTGAGGGAGTATGTTTCTAAAGCGTTGCAGTAGTGAAGAGGCAACGATGGGAGGAGCGCGGGAAGATGCGAATTCCAGGGGATGGATAATTTGAAGTCGCGACGCCAACTCTCCCAAAGATCGAAAAGGAAGCGACTTGCATAGTGATATTGGAAGGCATCGTAGCGAAATATACAATCTCAAGGATATCCCTGTAGTCGGCCATGGGCGTTGAAGTTATAGAGGCTCGGGCGTTTTCGAGCAGCGACACTGTTGCCTTTGTCTCCTACCACCACTTCGCCGAAGGGCTTGGATTCTCTTTGCTACTGCTAGCTTCTTCTGTTGAATCTCTTTCCCCCTCATGACGCCTTCTCCATTTTGTTCTAGTCAGCATCACCGGGATACCAGCTTTAGGCGACTTGACCTCCGTGGAGGGCGTCCGGGTCGTCAACAAGATCAATCGCCTTAGGCTCTTCTTCGCTGACAGCGATGGTCTCGACGGGTAGTATTTGAGGTGCCCTGAGTTCGATGCTTTTCCGTCTCCGCACCTCGCCACGCGCACTGGACATTCGATAACTATTCGATAGCTCTTGCTACACTTCATTCAATCGCGGTGACAGGCACTTTCTTCACAACAAGACTTCACAAACCGCGTCGTTCCTCAAAGCCATGTCGCTCCGTGCTCGTGTATAGTTGTCATCGAGGGCCTGTGCACATTCTTTTGATCGAGTCGTGGGTGCCTGGCGGGAAGTGGATAGTTGCTGCGTCGGTCTGAAGGCCAAGTGAAAGCCAGGCTTTTGGCGCGGCCAAGGAGTTTGAAGACGAATCAGCGCAAGGAACTGGAGGAA